TTAAGATGTAGTGGGAAAGGGTTAGAACCTGTGAGGTTTTTAATCCACTCTGTGACTCCACTAGGGAGATTCACCCACTCTATTGGTCATGGTGCCCATTGCCTCCAATACAAAAAAAAAGGTGTAAAATCCAACATTTTTGAGCTTTCACTGGAACAGATGGTGAGCGGAAATCCTGTAATTGAGACACCTGTTCTAGGGACATCTGTCTAAGATGGGATATCCCTTTTACTTTGGAATGATCTCTTCTCACCTTCTACTATATCTCTTAGACAGAAAAGTAATGAAATACGCAGCTATCACAGTTACAACTAGTTTTCTCCTGAATTTTATCACAACGGACACAGTCTATTCATATCATATGCTTAATGTTTTGTCTGCCCATATTGAACCACAGCAGGATACAGATAATACTTATCATTATCAGGATCACTTGTGCTTGTTCTATGGCTCACCTCCAAACATAGAAAGCAAATAAATCTTATCAATAGAGGAACACTTGGATTACAAGTTGCGCCCGCCACAAAATTGCTAATTATAAGACAGGGATTTAGTGCGCTAGATGGAAAACGGGCTTGTTCAGACTTACAGGAAGAGCTGTGGAAAAGCGTGATTCCAGATTCTATTCTGGGAACCCTGGTTCCCTCCTGCGACATTGCCAAGGAATTGAAGGCCACAGCGGAATGCTGAAAAGGCAACAGGCAAATTATTTCATTAAAACAAGGGAATAAAAAGTCTGATGCAGTTATGCGCCCACATCAAGAACCAGTTTTCAAGAGGCTTCTGTAGGAAATTTTAAGGCAGTAGAGTCCAAATTGTTTAGGTGTGAAACCCAGGCTTACATCTGTAGGCCTCCAAAGCTTGGACACCACTGGATTGGAGACAATAGGTATAATCTTTAAAAAGGAAATGGATAAAGAAAAAAAAAAAGTTTTACTCATTAGAAACTGGTGAAATAAAACTCTATTTTCATTAAAAGTAAACACTTTTGTAAAAAGAAACACAAAACATAATATTATAACATAACATTGCTACATCAGTAATCTTGTAATTTTGACAGTTCAATTTCAAAATGCAGCCACTGTAATTTTTCAACAATGTAAACAAATAAAAAGCAACATGGCAACCTGGAGGCCTTCTGTTGGTGTACAGAATGCCCCTGTAACTGTAATTTCCTGCTTCTGAGTTGCTCAGAAATCTCCACCAAGGTACAAGTAAACTTTTAAAGCCCAACTCCAAGTACAAACTTACCAAGGGTCATGCAGTTACAGTAAAAAATGATGTTGTTCCAAAGCCCCTCACCCCCCCCCCACCAACATGCAGGCTCTCTTCTACATTAGGCAAATCTGCCTGAATATATGTCAGGGTCAAGTACAGCTCCCTTGGTACTTCTGCCTGCTCTAATGGGCCACAGAGGAGAATCGGCTGCTGGGTAAGAAACAAGGTAAGAATTTCTGTGTATTACAATGCAAATCCCCCCAGATTAGGTGAGCATTAAACAACCACTTGATTTTTTTTTTAAAGAGCGGACTGGAGTTTAGCTTTAAAGCTAAAGTTTCATCAGCCTATAGTTTGCTTTCCCTGGTTCCAACTTTTCCCCCTCATCAACATGCTATTGATATTTTTAAAGTAGAACTATAGGCACATTTTTTCATTATGGATAGAGTGAGAAGGGTTATAACGCCTGATAAGATTTTTTTTTTTTCTTGCTATATCTGCCCCATTGCAGAGATTTCCCTTCACTTCCTGTCCCATAGCCAAACAGGAAGTGAAAGGAAATCCCTACAAATTAAAAATTCTTTAGGGACCCGTAGGTCACCAGAACTAGTGTTCCCACTGGAAGATATCCCCTCTAATACTTTTCTGTGAACAGCCCAAAATTTGGCATTTACTTTTATTTTCACTTTCAATGATGATGGCAAAAACAGGACAAATAGGGTTATACTTTAAATAAAACTAAAATTTATACTTTAAATAAAACCTTACTATGCTTTTTTTTTGCATACCTTACCTTAGACCCCCAGTGATTTCATCACTGGGTCTCTATACTTATCTATTCAATCCAGGCAGATCATGGCTGGTGAAAGGGACCTGCAAGGCGCTGTAAATAACTCCCTGAAAACAGCACAGCATTGCCTGCCTGCCTAAGTACTGCTGACAAAAGCACTCAGACCTGGTGTAAGCAGTGGGCTGACTCTTGGGAGGGGTTCTGCAATTTCAAACTGCCTTGATAGGTGGATGTCATCTGGATGGGTGTTTTTTTATGCAGACCATGTGATACTGAGTCTCCATGACTGAAAGAACTGAAATCGAATGAAAGAACATGGTAGAGGTACAGTCAGGCTGGGGAGGAAAGTGATAGGTGAAGCTGGATGTTCTCCAACCAGGAAATTCAACAAGCCCTGATTGACTGGCTGTAGCTTCTGACGCACACTGCGAGAAGCGCACAGTGTGCAGTGAAACCAGAGTAAGCATTTTCAGTACAGAGAGGAGCCCGTACACCGGTACAAGACTGATGGGAAGGTTGAAGTTCAGCTCGGGGTACCATGGGCTATGGCACTCATTAGTTACAAGCCAAAAATGTATTGGCAGCACTACTGTAGGTCATCTCCTCCTGGATGAGAAATACTTCAGCCACTCTGAAGCATTGGGAGACCTGAGGTTCAGTACTTTGTTTTGTTTCATTGTAATTACATTGAAGCGTATAATCTGTCTTTAATGGGATTATTGTCCAATAAATACATACTTTTTTTCTTTTTCTGCTGCCATCCTATAATTTTGGTCATGGTTTACCAGCAGGATAAAATTAGGTGCTTCTACCACACACAGTTTTTATTTTCTTGTATTTGAAATTAAAATAACGTGCCCCGCTTCCCCAACAGATTGAATTTCACACCAACAATGATGCACATGATTTGACATGCAGTTTGCTGTACACAAAGATCCATTTGTGGTGTTTTATTTCTGGCTCTGGAACAAAGCATTTGACCGTCCGATCCTGAAAGAAAATGGTGGGCTGCCACTTGTGAGGACCTTCAGAAAAATGTTAATAGCATGACATGCTGATCCAATGGCTTTAGTAGAGTCACTGGACCAGGGTTTTGAACAAGTGAACCTGGAGCAAAGTCTGAACTCTTGGATCTGCATGCCTGTCCTGGGTCACTAGCCCAAAAAGTACTGAAGCCAATAGACTAGCATGATAGCCAAGCAAGTAGCATTTAATTTGTTCTTTTAAAAACAGCCAAATCTATTCCAGGTGCAACACTATAAAAAGGTATGCAAAGTCACACATTTATTGTTTCTATTACAAAGCAGTCAGTCTTGAGTAAACAAGCCTGTCTCCCGCAGAAAAGATCCCTTGCTCTGTGTGGAAGCAGTGGTCTTTCTACAGAGGTCAAGAAGCCCCCCTGCTGAGACAAAGATAGAATCAGCAGGGAGCATACACGTTGAAGAGGTCAGAGCAGGAGACACGGATGACCACTGCTTCCAAAAAGAGAGCAAGTGTCCTTCTCTGCAGCATGCTGACAGACGGCTGGCTTTTATACTCAAAAGAACTGCAATCTAAAGAAAAAAAAAAAAAAAAAAAAAGCATTAAAGTGATAATAAAGGCTCCTTTTTTTTTTAGATAACATGTTATACTTACCTGTATTTGTGCAATGGTTTTGCACAGAGCAGCCCTGATCTCCCTCTTCTCGCGTCCCCTACCATTGCTCCTGGCTCCTACCCCCTTTGAGTACTCCCCTAGCAAGATGCTTGCTAGAGGGGGTACTTTTGTCGGCTCCCTCCTGAGCCCTATTGGCTGTGTCCATAGACAGAAAGCGGGGCTTTGCCCCATTCCCTCCTCAATGGTTGTGATTCACAGCAGTGGGAGCCAATGGCTCCCATTGCCGTCTATCAGGCAATGAGAGGGCAGAGAGCTGGGACAGCAGTCACTCTTGTGCACAACACTGAATCAGGCTCAAGTAAGTATTGGGGGGTGGGGGGAGCTGCATAGCGTTTTTTTTTTTACCTTAAGGTAAAAAACCTTCAGCCTTCACAACCACTTTAAGACTTTGCACACCTTTTATTTCATTGTACCTGGAATATATTTAGCAGCTACAAACTAAAAGTTCAGCTAGGATCTACACTCAAAACTTCTCACGTTAAAAAGTGTTACTAAACCCACAACAGTAAAATCAGTCTGTATATGCAGTAAAGCATGCTTGTTATACTCACTGTAGAACCTAAGCGGTTAATCCTCTGCATTGTGTAAAAAAGCCATTTGATCTGCCCCTTCTTCTGCTCAAATGCCCACGTCTTATCTCCTGATAAGACAGACTGACCCGCAGCCATTCTGCACATGCTCAGTTTCGTGTGTATTGCTAAAGAGGTTTTTGTTTTGTTTCTTGGGAGAGAGTGCATGTGATCAGCACAGGGCCAATCAGCACTGTCCAGACAGAGGTTAGGGGTTTTGCATCCTCCTAGAGCAGAAAGAAAACTCCAACAAGCTTTACAAGCTTTGCTCTGCTGAACACTGATAGAAGTCACAAGACTGCTCTAACTGCTGATGATTAAAAGGTGTACTGTGGGAGATCAGATATAGTGAATGCAGGGTCCTGGGTTTAGTAACACTTTAATTAATGGCCAAAACAGTACAAGACTCTACTACTTTGGTAGAACAATCCAATTCATAATAAAAAATTTTCATAGAACGCTGAATTCCGGGCACAAAAACTATCATACATACCTCATTAGCCTCAAAAGAATATTAACCACTTGCCTACCGGGCACTTATACCCCTTCTTGCCCAGGACAATTTTCAGCTTTCAGCGCTGTCACGCTTTGAATGACAATTGCGCGGTCATGCAACACTGTACCCATATGAAATTTTTATCTTTTTTTTTTAGACAGGTAGAGCTTTCTTTTGGTGGTATTTAATCACCTCTGGGTTTTTATTTTCTGCTAAACAAACCAAAATCAACTGAAAATTTTGAAAAAAAAACAAAAAAACTTAGTTTCTGTTATAATATTTTGTAAATAAGTGATTTTTCTCCTTCACGGATGTGCGCTAACGAGGCTGCAGTGATGGGCACGGATAGGTTGCACAGATGAGGAGGCACTGGTAGGTGGCACTGATGGGCAGCACTGACAGGCAGCTCAGATGGGCACTGATATGTGGCACAGATGTGGTACTGACAGGTGGCATTGATCATCATGGCACACTGATCATCAGTGTCCTGATGATCAGTGTACATGTCCCCTCTGAGTAATGCCGATTACGGCTCTCCTCTCCTCATGAGCAGTCAGCGTGACAGCTCGAGAGGAGAGAAATGCCGATAACCGGCATTTCCTTATTTACATGCGATCAGCTGTGATTGGACACAGTTGATCACATGACAGAGCCGATGTCTTCGGCTCTTTCCGTTGATCGGTGATTCGCTGTGTCCCAGGGAAACAGCGCACCACCAATCACCGTGCTGCATGCTCCCGGGAACGCCCACGTGCAGGCAGAGTGGGAGGATGTCATATGACATCCTCCCAGAATGAGAGAACCGCCTTGCGCCCGTCATTTCCTTATATGGCGGGCGGGAGGCGGTTAATGCACTTTGGGTGCACCAAATCCCTTTGGAAACCCAGGTTTTACCCATGCTGTACGTAGCTTATGCAGAGCAGAGCTGTGGGGGGGGGGGGGGGCCAAAACCTCCACCCAGTACCGGCTGCCGGCAGTAAACTAAAGAAGGGGGCAGAGACAAGTCCAGTCACTTCAAACAAGGGGCAGCAATGACCGGTCTTTATTACAGGAAGCTCCTGCACAGAGGTAAAAGTTTCACAATGGATTACTGCACAGATCTGGAAGAAATACACAAAGCACACCAAGATTCTAGGAAGAATACACATGACAAATGTATTCAGACAAAAATGTGCTTATCTCAAAGTTCAGCTTTAAAGCCCAACTCCGGGAAAAATTTAATTTTAACAGTGCATTGTGCATCAATTACCCTATTCCTCAGACATATCTCTTCCTAAGCCATCCTGCAGTGTAATGGATCAAAGTCACAGTCTCCTATATCAGCAGACCTAAAATGGACCAGACATTTTTTCCTTGCTCATTATCTTCTTGGACACTGGTCCCCTTACTACCCCCATGAGTTCTTCTGCCTCTGGAGCCTATAAGAGTACCCAGCCACTGGAAGTGCTGCTTCCACAAATAGCTTTGGTTAAGTAAAATGGGCATTTGGAGAGTTTTTTTATTTTCAAATCAGCGATTAGTTAGATGGGGTGACAAATGAAGCTAGTACTTGCTTTTTTAATAACTGAAGTTAGCCAATAGAGAGCATCACAAACTCCAAACTAACTTATTTTATTGGGTACCCAAAAATGTCTGCATCAATAGAACATTTTATTTTTGAATGGACATTTCTGTGTTTTTGTTTTCCTTTATTATTGTCTATTTTGATCCGAAATAAACAGACCATTTACAGCAATACCTGCCCTTGAATGAGTCTGCATCTTAATGTCAGTACTGCAAGCAGCAATGTCATGAGGGGGCTGTGTATAGCCCTATGCAAGTCACAACTTGCATTAATGTGTTTTGTGTAAAAAAGCTGAAAACTACAGTAATCAGACTCATTATGATGATTTATTCCCCTGTTTTAAAGTGGTTCTAAAGGCTCAAGATTTTTTACCTTTATGCATCCTAAGCATTTCTTCTGTGTTTTTTGGCCATGCTTCTCTTGTGGGTCACAGGAGTGTACTTATGCTCTATGATCCAGAATCAAAACTGACAGCAGGTTTTAGCCCATATAATATTTTTTGGATCCACCCAGATGCCTGATTAACAGCTGGCTCTGGCTCTCTGTGCACTACTCAGAGCCCGAGCCAGCCACTCTCGCCCTCTCTTCATGCCTTTACTCCAGTGATTACTGGAGGGGGCAGAGCAGAGAACGGTGACTGTCATCATTCTATGCTCAGAGCAGACCAAGATTGATCAGGGGTCATGTGATCGCTCAGTTCTGTGCAAAACCAGAGCCAGCATTGGGACAGAAGCAGCATCAGACCAATGCTTAGGCATGGAAGTGAGTATGAATGTTTATTTTTTTTTTCTTCCCATTTGCACACTTCTCCTTTAATGGATGTCATTCATATGATACCACAATGGGCCTAAAATCATACCTGTAGCATTTTTTGTATCACAATGCACAGTAGTGTGCTGCAATGGAAGCATGTGGGGGGTGTCTTTTAAAATGAATGCCACCACTGTGCACCAATTGGGAAAAATTTTAAGGGGTCTTTGATGGCTGAAAACCACAGTAATCAGACTCATTATTATGATTTTTCCCATTTTAAAGTGGTTCTAAAGGCTCAAGGTTTTTTTTACTTCATGCATCCTATAAGCATTCCTTCAGTGCGCATCACCCCCAGCCCCCCTAATACTCACCTAAGCCCCCTCTTAATCCAGCCATGTGCACTGGAGTCTCATCTATCCCGGGACTCCCTCTCCTCATTGGCTGAGATAGAAGTAGCAGCCATTGGCTCCCAATGCTCAATCACAGCCAGTGAGCGAATGAGAAGGGAGAGGGGGCGGGCTGAGCCACGGCTCCGTGTGTGAATGGACATACGGAGAAGCAGGGACCCCATAGCAAGCTGCTTGCTGAAGGGGCGGAGCCAGGATAGTTTGCAGGGACCAGAGAAGAGGAGGATCCAGGCTTCTCTGTGCATAACCACTGCACACAGCAGGTAAGTATAGACTGTCACAATCCTGCTCACAGGGAGAAGTGCGGTTCTCCAGTTTACCCCAAACTTCGGCAGTTGGTACTAGAGCAGACGTTATCCCCTCATTCCACCTCCCTCAGGAATGCAAGCAGCGTATGATGCTGAGCCCTGCCTGACAATTCTTTTGCCAAATAAGATATTGGCTTGTCCGTGATAGGAAGATACCAGTTGATTTTGTGTAGAAAAAGAAGCCGTTATGTTTTGTGTCTAGTCAGAGAAGTGAGGACCGTCTGTGATATAACATCTATCGGACAGAAAGCAAAGGAGAATCTCGCTGCAACAATGAAACCGAGTGCGAGACCAGAAATCCCTTTTTAGCTCATCAGACTTGAAACTGCTTAACCCCAGGCATTTATTTGGCAAGTACTTATTTACCTAAACTTCTGTTATCTGTTTGCTGTGCTGTTGTGCTCTGTATATTTATATTGGTTACAACTTCTTTCTGTAAATATTTTTACTGCACCCTTTCGACCTTTTGGTAATAAATCTTACTTTCTAAAAGTGTTGAACTGTTTCTATAGCTCCTGAATGTAACTTACGAGTCCCTGCCGCTGAAGAACGTTACTATGAGTGTTTAACCCTCTGTATAACCGGTCTGTGGAGATAACGGTATACTGTCGATTAACCAATCATCCTAGTGTATTGCTGAGTTTCCTCTTTCTCTGTATAAAAAGGAGGTGGTGGCAGTGTGAAGGGTTAATTGCATAATTAACCTGACCCAGTAACAATCGCACAGGCTGCCGGTACATAGATTGTGGTCCAATTAGCTGGAAAATCGTTGTGCAGGGTGCAGCTGGGCGTGGCATTGTTACGCACGTGACATCGCGCGGTGTTGGATTGGCTAGTCCTTCGGTCACGAGTTTGGTGAGAAGGGCTGGGGTCCATGGGGGCCGCGCCCGTCACATAGACATGTTTGTTATTTTTTCTTAAAAAAAAAAAAAAAACAAGCCTTTAGAATCACTAACTCCTCTTTGTCCTAGTATTTGTCTACAACAAGCATACAGCCCATTCACCAAGAAAAACAGTTATCAATGTTGCTGCCACCCACTAGGAAAATCTTGAGATTGATGTACGATTGACCCACAGCATGGAACTCTGGAGGAGTTGGGAAGGATTTCCGCATGGCGAACCCATCAATTGTACTAATCCCACCCACACCACCAATTACAGGAAGCCACTGTGCTGTCCATCACGCCTCATAAAGGAAAATTACAGCCGTAGCTGGGCTAATCCTCAGTTTTACAACATGTATAAATAGATGGAGAGGTTTCCATACCTTGACAGCATGTTAGAGATTTCAGATCAATGTGTGGTTTTCCACCCACGTGCTGGAAGAATTACTGATACATCACTTCTCAGTGAACTTTCTGGACACAGACTCAAAAACATATCCATGAACAGAATAAAAAGGGAAATGTTGATTACAAATTATGGTGTGCACTTCACACATTAAAAAAGTTGCATCTAAAGCTGAACTACCGGCAAAATTAGAGAATAATACTCCAGTGTTGAATTATTTTTAAAAACATTAAATAGAACTACCAAAGAACTACCTGAATCAGCCTTTATTAGTTTCCTGCACAGTAACACTCAAACTGGAGAGAAATGGGAAGCAGACTGAACCAACCAGGGTTCTATTTCTTTGCAAAATTATGTCAGTCTAACATTGTCAACATACTAACAGAAGGGGAAAACAGAGGGATTATCAATATGCTGTTGCTCCTTTATTATCCAATCAGTAGGGTAGTGTTCACTTCTTGACTAAGGAGAACAACTTAAAGGCATAGTTCACTTTTTAGAAGCAGTTTCATCTTACACCCATAATCAGGGTGCACCATGAAGCACGGTCACATACACCAGCATCCTAAACCAAAACCGTAGGGTGCTTCTTGCTCCAGGTCACTGTTTAATTTCAGCATGGCTGTGTGTGGCTCTGCCCAAACAGACACATAACCTATTTTTCCCATCAACAACCATGATAGAGGGACTCTATCGCAGATTTTGCCACTAGCACGGTGGAGACGTTACCTTACTTGTAGCCCGTTGATTGCTTCCTCCAGCACAATAAAAGTACCTCCTTGTATGAAACCTGGGCTGGGGATACACAATGCAGGACACCGTTTACCCTGAGCACACACCAGTGGCTATGCATTTAGCACAGCAGGTGGTATGCATAAATGCTAACGTAAGCTTTCAGTGTAAGGTTTACAGCACACTGCAATGAAATAGATCCCTTAGCATTACAGGAAAAGTAAGGTTTCATGTACACTGCAGCTAATAAACTCACGTTTAGGAGCTGTTCAGCATTTTTTTCAGCAGCCCCTGAATTCTCCCTAATGTTTTCCTATGTGTCCATGTACACATCGTTGTTTACAGTCGTTTACAGGATTTGAGTTTACATTCGTTTTTTTTTGAACGCAGAAAACTTGCGTTCAGCAGTCGATTTAATCAGCTTTTCAAGCGCAAAACTTATGTAAAACGCAGAAAATCGTGTTTATAAGTGTTTGAATTTTTTTTTTTTTTTAACTCTTCCAGTTCCTGATGCTGTCTAGAGCCTTTTTTATTTTCAAGGTACTCAAATGGACAAAACACTGAACACAGGATGTTCACACCGTAATGACCAATTCACACCTCAGACCTCTAGCACCCTTGGAAACAAAAGATATGTT